TAGAGAAGATATCATTCTATCTTCCATCCTTTTTTATATCTTATGTGTATTTTTGGCACTAAAGAGATAAAAAACCAACACCTATCAAATTTAATTCATGAGCTAATATTTACTAACTTATTGGATGACATTGTAATTGTCACAATTCCTAGATGACATAATCGAGATAAAGATCTTCAAAAACAAGATGTCTTTTCTTGAATAGATAGTGAGATATAATGTATTTGGTATCATGACCTTAGAAGAGATTCAAATTTTTGGTAATTTTATTAGTGGTAGGAATAACTCTTAAAGATGTTTCAAATGTTTTATTTAAAAGATGTTATAAAGGCCTCAATAACAATTAAATAATATGATGGTCTTCTATTCTGGTATGGGACACTATCAATCGTTGAGATGATTTATCAACTACCTTCAAAAAAAATGAAGATTAGAGTACGTGGCAATAGCTATTCTAATTCAATATGTTATTATTTTTGAGTAATTTCTTAGTCTTTTTAAGTGACACAAGAGTGTGTTGAGGATTTCTTTCTTTGAAAATCATATCATTGACAATTGTATGTATTATTGCTTGAAAATAAACCAGGCACATAATTATAGAAGATAAGTAAAAATGCAACAAAAAAATTCTTTCAAATCTAATAATTTCTTTAATTAATTTTTAAAAATTCTTAAAATTTTTAATTAAACTTTAATCAATTCAAAATAATTTTTAAAAAATTACAAAAAAAAAATACAAAGAAGCTATAAATTAATTTTTCAAAAAAATAATAAAAAAATCTTTTAAAATTATAAAAATAAAATCTTGGAGAAGTAATAATAATCTTAAATAAATAATAAAAATAGAAATTTTAAAGAAATAACAAAAATCCTTTTTAAATGCTAAAAATAGAAATATTAAATAAATCTTAAATAAATCTAAATCAAATATTAATTAAATTATAAATAAAATCTTATTAGATTTTAATCAAATTTTAGATCAAATTTTAATTAAATCTTAATTAAAATCCTAATAAAAATTAATAAAATCTTAAATCAAAGCTTAATAAAATCCTATGAAATTCTAAATTCTAACCAAATCTCAAATTCTAAACTAATTTTAATGAAATTCTAATGAAATCTTGAATCCTAATCAAATCCTAAATCCTAATCAAATTCTAAATCCTAGACCAATCCTAATCAAATCCTAATAGAACCTTAAATGTTAACCAAATCCTAAATCCTATACCAATCTTAATCAAATCTTAATTAAATTTTAAATCAAATCCTAAATAACTTCAAGAATATTTCAAATAAATCTTAATCAATTACTTTAGTTGTTTGAAATCTCAATAAATACTAATTGAATTTTCGATCTTGACTAAAATTTTGTTCAAAATTCAACCAACAAGAAATACATAGGCATAAAAGATTTGAAAAGAATCAAACTCACTAATTCCATGAAAAGCTCCCAAACCCTTTTAGATGTTGACTACCTTCTTCAATTTGAATGTTGATCTTTCATCAAAGATTTCTCCTTGCTAAAATGTTCAATTGCTCCAAAAAATGGATAATATTTAAGAATTCAAGTTTCAATTTCTTTCATCAAATTTTGCTTTAATTAAACTAGGAAATTTTTACAGATTACTAAAACCTTTTTTGATGATAAATTTCAATTATTTGAAATCATAATCCATAAAAATTCTAATGACCTTCAATCTAACTAATTGATTGATATAAAAAAAATTTACACATTTTCAACAAGCACAATGACAACTTAACAAATTTTTTGTTTATAAATAAGATACAAAACTCACAACATACTCAAATCTATAAACTTCTTTTTATTTCTCAAAATCTAAATCCACCAAGTAGATCTTTAACTTTGAAAAGCTCTCAAAATCTCAATATCCATCCAATTGACATGAAAAAATTCTTAAAAATCTTTTTTCAAGTCTACTTACAAAATCCATTCTTTGATTTACAAAAAAAGCCCAAAGTTATTATAGATGCAAGGTTTTGTGCCTCAAGGTCTGATTTCAATCCAAGTTCACAACCAATCCTTTTTAAATATCAATTTTTGATAATTTGAGGTAATTTTAAATTAAACTAATTGTTTACTTTCTTCTTAAGATTTCTATGTTATTTACTTATCTCATTTATTTTGATTTGACGCATATATGCTCCTACAAAGTAAATAGAAGTTTTCTCTACAAAAACTAGTAATACGACTTAAATTTTTACTACCTTCTTATTATTTATCCTTATTTTTTAATTACATCTTTTTACTAAGCTATTTTATAATAACATCCATATTTTTATTTTTTAATATTTAGTCATGTTATCACATGATATCATAATACTCTTTTATGCAATATCAAAAAATAAGATTGACTACTATTACAATATTCTCAAATCTAATAAAATCATGGTCTATTTACTATTGTTACTCAACATTGAAGAGACAATCATTTGGAGACATCTACTTTGTACACTTTTAAGCATGTGCAACGTTCCAAATGTTCAAGAAGTATAATCCAAAATATAAAAACTTGGAACCATTGAGCTTTTCCTTCATTTTTTGTGAAGATATTGTTGAAGATGTTTGTATTCATATACTCAAGCTTTTGAAGTACTTGTTAAGCAAAAACACAAAGAAGGATATTGTTGACTACTTAGGACTAACTTATACAAGAGCATTGATAAAGTTATTGAGAAATTTAAGTCAAAATGAAAGAAAACTTGCAATTGTAGAGATTATTAGTAATATTTTCACTTATAGCACTCAAATGACAGATATCTTTTTGCAAGTTGAGGCATTAGTTGTCATTATGAACCTCCTTATTTTCTTAAGGAGATTGAAGAGTAGGCTTGGAGCTATGCAGAATGCATTCTAAAAGAATGCTAAAAATTTCAACATGAGATTTTTAGAACTCTCTTATTTTTAGAACTCTCTTATATTTCTTATTTCCTAGAAATTCCAATGTTACAAAACATCATCAAAAAGTAGCCGACCTTGATACAATCCCTCATCTTCTCACAATTTTGCAAACTAAGATACTATTAGCAAAGTGTATGGTTGCTATTATTCTTGATTACTTTTCTCTCAGTAACAATAGTCTCACTTTATTAGCTTTTAGTCTAAACCACCTATAGAAGATGCATTTTAGAAAGATATACATTCTTAGTAAGAAACAAAATATAAACTAAAAGAAATAGGTTGCAATTAATCATCTATTTACAATTTGTCTTTAATCGAAGAATAAGCAAGCTTGAATCATAAAGAGCTGCTACAAGTATTGCTACAACAATGGCATCATCAATGGCATGAGCATTTGGTTTGTGGAAGGTCCAACTTGTGCAAAAAAGTGTCATGTCAAAATGTACACAACATGCAATTTAGGCCCCAAATTTATTTAAAATGGGAATAAGGTTATATCTTATCAAGCTTAAGGATAGATTTATAATTATTACAAAAATGAGGGATATATTTGCTATTATAAAAAATACAAGGATATTCTTGATATTTCAACATATTTTAAAGATTTATATGATATTTTTCTAAAATAAAATCTTAATTATTAGCATCATTATATTAATGTGATAGTTGTAAATATATAATATCTTTAATTGATATTCCTAAGATAATTAAAATTAGTGTATTTAAGATAAAACTATTTATTAATAAGATGTTTAACTTTTTACCACTACAAGTAATTAAATAGTTCATTATTTTTTTATTTATGAATATTTTATTTTTGTTGCTAATGACATTAAAAAAATTAATATCAATTTAATGTCATTAGCAACAAATTTAAAAATTGGTGTTGCATATAATAAATATTTTTTATTAAAAATTGGTGTTACATATAATAAATACATTGCAATGACTTATAAACTTAGTTAAAATGATCAATATTAATATTATATTATATCCATATGTACATACATGTAAATATTCATATATATATATATATATATATATATCTATTTATAAATATATTCTAATATTTCTAATTATATACAACTTTATTGATTAAATTTTACATGTATATATGAGATTTATAACATTTATTTGAAAGAACTAAGTATTTGTATATACCAAGTTGTGAAGAAATTTTGAGTAGCAAAATAACAAAAATAATAAACAATTGCTTGCAAACAATGTTTTCTTAAACCATTTTCATTTGAAAAAATTTATTTATCTCTCTTGCCAATCTAATTTTCAAATCATTTTGCAAAATTCTTCAATAATCGGCCTCTTTTTCTAAATTAAGAACAGTGAAAGCAAAATACGATTGCTTTGTCACTTAACTCAAATTAGTTTTAACTTTTTGAAAGTAATACTTACAAAAATACAACTTCTTCGTCTATCAAAAAGTTCTATTCTCCAAAGACTTCACACATGAATTTCACACAAACATTTTCACTGAATTTTTCCCCCTTCGACCCCGCTCTTAATTGACTCATTCAACTGATGCCACTATTTCAGGTCAATCTTGATTGGATCAGAGTTGGCAAGTGTACAAGTTGGCGATTGAGAGTAATGGTTAAGATGGATTGAGGCTGTTTTTCGATGAGCCAGTATACCCTCTTCCGAAGTCCCAACATCGTGCAATCTGATTGCATCGTATAATGGGCGGAGCGAAGGATACCACATTATCAAGTGCACTTAGTTTTCACTCATGGGAATGGACTTTTGGTGACACGTCATTAGGTTTCGAAGCATGGGGCTACAAGGGGTGGGAATCACCACCTTGCATAGAAGATCAGTAATAGATTTCAAGTATTGGATTATCATAGCTGAAAATATTGCCAGATCTTGGAAGAAATTTCAGAAACTCACTAGGTTGATGCACAACTTGGATTTCAGTTCACCAGCTCCCAGGTCGCCAGTATATCACAAGTCGATCTACGCTGAAGTTTCTGTGGACGCATGGATAGATACAGCAGAGTGAATACATCAGACACCAGTCATATTTGTGAATCAGTGAATTGGAGGATTAAAAAAAAATCAAAACTTAAAAATAAAGTGCTAAAAGTCCAACAGCTCATAAAAATTGAAGTATACAAATCAAGGTCGACAATGAAAATCAACAGCTAGTCCAGAGAGAACCTTGCCGCATAAAATTCCTCACTAGGTCTCGTCCTACTTTGCACCAACGGAATACCAAGGCCACAGTAAACCCAGATATCTATGCTCTTAAACACGTCTACATGTATATTGGACCACACCAGCATACTGTACACAGTAGTAGTGCTGAGCTGAAATGCACTATTTCATGGTCTTTTGAAAGCAATGCTCCCATCCAGGTAACTCATGTTCACGATCCTCAACCAGATTGTTGTGTCTAACTGTAATTATGGTTCTCTGTGCTTATCCTAAGCCAAAAAAAACCTTAAAGTTTATGACCTGCTACGATCATGTTGGATCCTACCAATTACCTACTCAATATGGCAATAATCAATAGCAAGTGAACAGTTGTATCTGCAATAAATTACCAAAATAGCATCTAACCCCACCTAACAATAGCTGATCCCCACGTAAGGCCTGCCCCAAACCCTGCCGTAGCCACAACATCACCAGCCTTCACCTTACCGCTTCGGACAGCCTCATCTAGAGCTAACGGTATGGAGGCTGCACTGGTGTTTCCGTAATTAGCTAGGTTAGAAATCACTTTCTCTGAGGGTATATGTAACCTATCAGAAACTGAATCAAGAATCCTCTGATTGGCCTGCAACATACATATATAAACCGTGATGTTAAAACCTACCCCCTTGCAGAACAGATGAGCGATTTGAGTACATGAAAATATACCAGAACTTTGATGCTGTGATGGCTTTAAATGCCCTAATCCGTGTCTTCCGTTAATGAGTTGAGTTCAACAGAGTTGACAATGACTACCTGTAGTAAAAACACATACCTGGTGAAGCAGCAACCAGTCAACATTGTCTCCAGTAAGCCCAGCCTCATGCAACGCTCCTTCCACAACCTGAGGTACAGCTCGGACCGCAAACTTGAACACTTCCTTCCCATTCATTTGAAGACATTCATATGAAGCCTTTCGTGGTTTCAAAAATGCTGATCCATTCGAATCGGCCCCGCTGGATGAATCATCTAAAACATTGTCTATCGTTACATGCAGATGTCTGCAGTATCCACATCATATTTTAGTCCTAAACACATGCGAAGCATTACTTACTAGAAAATCACAACAAACAGGAGTTCCAAAACTGCATACATAAGGATGCGGAAAAAAGAGAAAAAGCCCACTTATGCCCATTTCCGTCACTACGCAGGTCGAATCCAAGCAAGCTGTCCTGGTCATCAGTTGCAGCCTGTTATAAGAAAGCCAATAAAAAGTTTATGAAAACATACAAAAAGCATAGTACCAAGAATTTAAGATATAGATCACCTAGAAAAGTCCAAGTCATCACAACCAACGAAGTTAATAATGTGAACGACAGGTAATGCACAAGTGATATGTTAGGTTGCACAACCGAGGCAATTCTGGCAATTGAAAATTAGCAAATGCAATCACACCTGTAACAGAAGCGCTCCAGAGGCATCGCCAAATAGAATACACGTCCCTCTGTCCGTCCAATCCACGTATCTTGAGAGAGCGTCAGCACCCACCACGAGCACATTTTGATATCCTCCTCCTGCACGTACCTTCAATCTTAGCTTTAAGTGGCCGCTATCAGTTGGCTTTCAAATTTTAAGTGTTAAACTGCTTACAAAGACACCAATTACAACATGCGAGTAGAATTTGTTTCTGGACAGCATTAGATTCTAGTTATTTGGTTCCTAAAATTAAATTTCAAGTCAGAGTTGATGGACTTTCTAAATTTCAAACATAATTTCAGATGAATAAAAACGAAGAGATTTGGTGGAAAAATACCCCTAATAAAGCGAGTGGCAGTCACAAGTCCGAGTACGAAACCGCTACATGCAGCCGTCAAATCGAAAGCCAAAGCATTATGGCATCCCAGCAGCTTCTGAACCTGATGACGATAGCATTGAACACCATACTTACATGAAAAAAAATCACTCGGTACTCCCGTTAACAGAAAAGCGCAGCCTCGAGATCACACTGAATGATCCCCAAAACGTCTTCACAGGACACTACAAATAATAACCCTCCTCGTATGTACAGTAGGCGGACAATCAGATTTGGACACAATACTGGCAAAATTAAGCAAAACATGACTGATTCGGAATTACACCGTTCTAAAGCAGCAACATATAAAACATAGTAATCCGTAAACTGTATCATTATAGGAGTTCAATAGAAAGAAAACAGCATGTGACTGCAATCAGCATCCCCATGCTAGGACCTGAATGGTGCAGAAGATGCTTTCTGTTTCATGTTACAAGACAATCACTAAATCTCTTTGCACGCAAACGTGCATCAATTTCAGTACGTCATACCTGCGGAGCACTGCCAAATAGATCATCTGGAGTAGATGTGCAGAGTAATAACAAATCAACATCCTCTGGATTCACATTAGCCATTTCAAGGGCCTTCCTTGAAGCTTCCACAGATAATGATGTAACTGACTCGTTCTCTGCACATAAGTAAAGAGCTAGATTAGCACACTGGTCAGGACTTGTGTACGTAAAATTCAAGTCAAAGAAAGTTCAAATATATGACGTATTCTGAATCCTCGAGGCACTGGTTATAGGGAATATGAAATGTGCAGACCAACTCCTGGTATAAAATGAATTTGGAGTAAGTTATTTCAATTCTTGTAAGATGGGCTAATTCTTCATCAAAATAGTGCAAAACAGCCACTACCCTGTTTAACACATATCTTGGTAGAGAATCCAATACATAAATATCCACCAGTCCTCGAACTAGTGGATAGTTGACCGCCTTTGCTGTCGAACGTCTCTAGATCATGTTAACATGTCAGGGGATCCTGCACAGCCTAGGCTCAGTTCACAGGCCTATGAACTACTGCGTATCTTCAGCATTTCTATCGAAATTACAATTTGACGCTGTGTATCTTCAGCATAATCAAGTGCTACGAACGTGATATACCCGTACTCGTTTGATGCACGAGGCAAAGCCATGATAGAACTAATTGTGCACTGGTTTCTCGTAGAAGTAATAAATCTGTTTCTAATAGGACATCATAGGCAAATCAGGGAGTTTCGAATTGCTATTATAATGAAACAAAAAAACCCACTTCTCTGACTGTTTCTTTGGTTTAAAAAGTAATTCAATATAAGAACGATAGCAACAATTAAGGAAAAGAGAAGCAAGATTGTGATGACCTTTCAATTGCGAAGAATTGCTCACTTTAATTAAATAAAGTAACGCATCAGTCACGACCAAGGGTTTTAAGAATCATCAATCCCATGTTACTCTAAACCACATGTTCACAGAATAACCTGGCAATAATATCGTCGAGAAGTACAAGAGAAATAGATCCAAAGAAAAGGTCTTCATGAGAAAGATTTCTCGCCTCCGAGTACACGACGATTGCGAATTCCTGTTCGCACGGATATCCATTCATCCGAAGTGTCCACGAATTTTGAGAGTTCTTCATTAGAAATGAGTTTCTTTGGGACAGCCGACCCCGATCCCACCAATTTGGACCCCCTTCCTACACGCCTGAAGCCAAGCCAGGGCAAGTGAATCAACAATACTTCATACCAACCTCCTGGTTGCACAAATGCCCCCCTCACAGAAATAACTTCATAGCATTAATTTCATGAATTGTCGCAACCAGCCAAATTATACAAGAAATGCACTTACCTCCGTTGCTCGTCCCCACCTTGATGAGACAGTTCTCCTTCATTCTGTTTCAACCCAGAGGAATCAAGCGACACGTCCCTGCTGATTGATCCGTCAGTTCCCAACTCATAAAGGCCCCAGGTATTGACAACAGAAATTGCCATCATACCCAAATTATAATCTCGTGCAGCATATTGGTAGCATAACTAAACCCGAGATTTCAATGCAGCATGCAGATACAATGCCGAGAAATTCATGAGAGAAGTTTCTGTCTCACCTGTTCTCAGCTGACATGACAGCTCGGCACCCCACAACGTGTGATGGGGTAGCACGCCAATGCGAGCACCCCAAGGAAACCCTCTCATAAGCATTCGCACCACCTAGAACGCAAACCGAGACCATTCATACAATCTCAGCTGGAATCCTCCATAAATGTAAGCACCGAAATATAAAAATGCTTGACCTTATTGTAGATCCCCAGTAGTCGCTAACATCCAGCTGAACCAAGTGACCACCATGATTACCTCCCCGTAATCCACTTACACAACAAAATCACTAAATTCCATGCATTCCCTCTACCATCTCCTGGCACAAAAACTCGTAAAATCCTAAACATAAATGCTGAAACCATCGCCATGAGAAACTACAAGGAACCCTAACCCAAACCACTGACCATTACCTCCAATCCACTCCGACATAAACCCCCACCTTGTCAAAACTCCAAAAACTATCCACCACCCATCCCTCTCCCGAAATCACCCCTCACTGAACCCAGCCTACCTCGCAGAGACAGCACAGTCGACGCAGTCCACGACGCAGAGAAGTGCAGAACCGGTCCAGTGGCGCACGCCATATCCACGCTGCACTCAATTAGAAAATCTATAACAAAGGTCGAGAAAAAAACTCCACAAATAGGAGGTGGATTTCTACAATGCAGAGGCAATGCGAGGAGATGGAGGTAAATGAGAGTGAGAGAGAGGCGATTCAATCCTAAAACGATGAAAAGGTCATGCCAGCACTGGCTGGCAATGGTGATGCAACCGAGGGTGCTGCTCCAGATTGTCGCAGTCTTCGATTTCTTCTTCAAACCCAAATGAATGGTACAGCTTGGTTGGCAAGCGTCCCCCACCTTTCTCCTCGCTTGTGTGAGTGAAGTCGGGGTCCCGGACCTGTCTCGTGAGTATTTGGATGGATGTCGTTGAAAACAGGGAGGATAACTGATGATCGCGTCGTCCGATCCTCGACAACAATTATGCTTTTCAATTGTATGTAATCAATGAAAGAGGAAAAAAAAAAAAAAAAAAAAAAAACGTATTACTATATATTGCAGCTGATTGAGGCAACATCAGATGGGTTCGAAATGATTGTAGTTTCGCCTCAGAGTTTGATAGTTGTGAGATCCATGATGAAGAAATCGCCAGAGGAGCTGTAACTTCTCAAGCTTTTGCTCGACTCCGCAAATCGGGCGGTGGTGTATATTTGGAGAAGTACTGTTTGGAAAGGAAATCGCGCTAAAATAGGATTGCCAGAAAATCCGGTCCAGATGATTGTGTGAATTATCACCTAATCCAACTTTGCTGATGAGGATGATCCTGACTGCGTTCTCAAAATTGCAATTCAAATGCTGTGGAGCACGACCTTCGATTTGTAGGTCTTCGTTCTGGGCTTCGGCTACAAGGAGCGATGTGGGACACTGAAGAGAACATAATTTAATATGGAACCTTGAATAGGATTGATTTGATGCTGGTTTTAAGGAAAGAAATCGCATGTTTTCTGACTTGAGGCGACAGGAAAATTCCACAAAGTTGAGAGGTAGAACAAATGTCCATGTTGATTCAACCACCCAACTGAATTTTCAGCATCAGCAGTCATAAACTATTGTCCAGCTCGGAGGACTACGTGGAAATTTTTGGGTTGTGATCGTTCGGAATCCGGGGGTCTCGAAAAATTCAAAGAATCGGCCAAATTCGCAGCTCACAGTCAGCTTTACTCTCAGTTTCTTTACGCATCTGCAGACACAGATGGAAGGGATAACCTATGTTTCGCATCTCGTCGGGAACTTCGATGAAGAACTTCTGTCCCTGTGCGTCGCCAGTAACCTCGAACGAGAGTTTTTCGGCCTGTGAGCTTCAGATTCTCAGCCAAACATGATTTGGCTCAGCTATACGTATGCCCATTCCCACATTTCCTTCTGCATTTCCAGCAGTTTGGGTGTTTTTTTAGTTTCCGAGAGGCGGTAACTCTTCCGCGTTGCTCTCTCAATCTCCTCTCTAGTAAGCAAGCTGTGTGGCAATATGATTTCCGAACGCAACTTTAGGTTCACAAGAGCCGTTTCTGCTCTTGGCGTTAAATTTTGTTGAGTAATCATGTTGAGGAACTCCGCATTGACTGCAGACAAAGGCGTTCTGTGGATGCGACGACGGTGGAAGTAATTGTACGTAATGATGCCTCATTTGAATTTTGGGTTTCTGTTTCCTCTGGATAGACAGAAAAGTGACTTTTGTTAGTGAGGTAGCTTAGAATAAACGCTTTGGATTTTGGAAAACACACAAACAGAGCACAAATACGCGAGTGCTGGTGCCAGAGGAGCTCTTGAAGAATTTTTTTCTCTGTAATGACTTTCAGACTGATAGATAATAACATACCGTATCGCAGGAATTTCCCTACAATGATGATTGCGAAGAATCCACTGTGAATCATTTCTATTCAATGTTAGATATATTGGAAATGTTGTAATATTCCAATGGCGTTTTCGGCGCTTGCACACGGCACACTCAGCTTTTGTGATCCAGTTGCTGCGGTACCCCAACTTTGTGCCAGAGTTGGGCAGCATAAAGAAGGCAGCCGCGGATGCGTAGAGTTCAAAAGCATAGACATTTTTCATCGCACGGTGTATTTCAATAGAGAAGATAGACCGTCAAAGTGGTGGTTGCCAGCTCAAGAATGGTACGTTCTGGATTCCTCTAAACAGAATTCTTGGACATTGCTTCACAATTTCATATGCAGATGGCTTCTATTTATCACGTATACGTTGATGCTAGCCCTCTTGATGGGTAGATAATCACCCCTTGGACCAAAACTTATCTTCACACCGTACAACGACATTCGCTCATGCAAAGTAGTTTCAACGATGTGTAACGTCAATTCAGACATTCAACTCCGCATTTGGTTTTTGAATTTCAGCATAATCCGGGATGCTACTCTAAATCTTTCTAGTGCCTCCACAAAGTTTTAATCAGTAGATATTTCCGTTATTCTGCAACAGGACGAAGGATAGCAGAAAGGGACAATGTCAATGCTCTAGCAAACCAATCTTGCCAGATAAAACTATGCCTTCTATCTCGCAGCCCTCCTCAGTCGGTGCTCAACGTCCTCTCTTCTCTCCAACGAAGACGTACATAGAGACCGACCTCACCCCCAAGGATAAGCTATGGGTGATCGCAGCCACCACCCGTAACGACCTTTTTGCAGCTGCTACGCTTCGAGCGCAGATATTCTACACGTATCCCCAAGTAGAAAGTAGTATACAAGGCACAGAAGCCATCAAAGCTCGCGTAGCGAATGACTTCGCCGTAATCGATCTGCTCAAAAGGAGAGTAAAATCAGAGTACGACAGGGTAAGCGGTACTGCAATTCATCCATTCGTTGTTATCCTACTATAAAATTGTCCTCCTCTTACCTTGGCAATGAGACCAACAATTGTATGTAATTGCCCGCAAAATGGTTGCAGGAAAGTAAATATGAATCACTAGGCGGGCGTGTGAAGTGTTTGTTAGCAGTGTGCCGCCAATCGACAATAGAAACGTTCGGAGGGAGCACTGCGACATCGTCCCACCTCAAACCTCCATCAATATCTTCGGAGGAATTATGTTCCACAGAGCCACTGGTAGCAATCGGCACACTTGACGTACAAGTATGCTCCCATTTCCAATTACAGCTCCCCTCTGGTACCTACCTTTTGAGCACGTCAAACACGCCAATTGGCCAAAACCAGGAAATATACATAATACATTCTCCCGCACTCACAAATCTCCTCAAAAATGAAAAACATAGACTATTGACACGCTAACTGACAAAAGAAATGGGATAACTGAAAGGATGGCACAGGAACCAAGGCCTCTGCAGATGTAAACCTTGTTACCTTCCAACTCTATGCTCTGGCCAATTCAGCTCAGCAATCGAAGAAGCAGGTGAGCGTTCGAGCCAGCGATCTCATTCTTTGTAACCTTAACCTTGCATCAAAATCCAGGATACCCCTTGTATCTACATTTAGGCAGTCGTAATCTGGATCGAGTTTTCCTGAACTTCGATGCCACTGGTCGCCGCTACTCATCACTTCTCATTTCCACTCTTTACTACGTTGGCAATGGGTTGTTCAAGCCATGTCTCACACGACTTCAAAGCTTCACCAGCGCCCAAGTACGAATCGTTTTAGAGAGTAGCACGCAATCGGAAGCAAACACTGTCTACCAGAAAACCACCGTCACCAAAGGCTGACAAGCTGAACTTCCGCGGAATACCAGGCAGATTGTGATCCGACATACTCGACTGGACTCGACTGGACTGTCATATTCCTCGTGAAGCAGATGGAACGCATGAGGACTGAACCTAACTTTGTTTCTTCCGCTTCAGGTTCACAAGGCCCACAATACCTCGACACCCTTTTCTCTCCTCCAACCGGACAACACCCTGAACCAGGCTTACATCTTCAACGTTGGCGTCGTCAAAAACTCCAGAAGAATGGGGGTCGGAAAGGCTCTGCTGCTGGCCGCTCTCAAGGTACGAGGCTGTTACCACCTTTCCACTTCCACCACACAAGCTCTTCATGTGCTCCCAACATGACTTCGCGGTCCCATGGCACCCATGCTCAACCTGCGGGACAGACTGGGCGTGAAGGGGAATCCCGTTACGTCACATCCGTTTGCGTGTACCTCCTAATCCACCGATTCGTGCCTGCCCCACGCCCATCATCTTGCATGCACAACGTTGAATTTTCGGCCAGAGTGCTCATTCCCTCACAACAATATCCACACACAAGCACAACCTCATTCTTTTCCCTTCTGCAGGTGGCCAAACAGATGGAACTTCAGGTGCTGTTCGTGCATGTAGAGGCGGACAATCACGGCGCCATGGCGTTGTACACCAGCTCAGGATTCAAAGTCCAGGAAGAAGAAGCAGAACAGCTGGCGCTTCAATTACGAAGGCCTCGCAGAATATTGTTGAGCTTCTGGACCTCATAAGTCATCGCGAACCAGATGTACGTCTTTGACCAGCACATAGTTTGAACTTCCTACCTTCTGTACTCAAACCACATTGCAATCCGAAGCTTCCACCTCCAAGTTTGTCCAATCCCAAATTGAGTGACAACCACAACACAAACACGACCCCCCACACCACAAACCAAAGCCTTCACAATCACAACAACACCACTTCCACCTCCACATCACACATCAACGATGACCGTTCCTCACCCAACGCACAACATTCGCGCGCTTCCCAAATGCAACCATTTCCCGCCCATCCGTCGCTTGACAACCTGCCCACACCCCTCTTCCCTTGCACAAAACCAATCCACCGCCTGCTCCATATCCTGTCACCCACGCATCTGTCCGCTCAAATCCCTCTCAACCGCAAACATCCACGACTCACAACCCCACCCGTCTCATACACATCCATTACACGTACTGTGCTCCCACAAACAACCACGCCCATGCTTTACGCTAAAATCAACAATCGTTATTGACAAAATCACCAGGCTGCCAACGTCGTCCGACCACCACCCCCAACCTCCACAACCCTTGTACATCCAACTTCCGTCCCAAACGGTGCGTCATGTGCACGTGATTATCAAAACCTACTCGACAGGAACCGCCTACAACCAATGCCCCCGCCTTCAATCCCCACCCGCTCCACAACTCAAACCTCCGACTTCTACAAAACTAACTGCATACGCCTACGCTGATCTACTCAATCGGGACCCACTCCACCTCCTCACGCTGCGGCTATCAACTCCGGCTCCGGTTGCGCCGCAGGGGCTTCGGGGGCCTTCGCCGCATCTGCTGCTGGTGCTGCAACGGCGGCACCATTCTCCTTCTCCTTCTCGCCCTCCTTCGCAGCCCCATCCTTCGCACCCTTCTCGCCCTCCTTCACCTCCGCCTTCGCTGGCGGTGGAGGAGGAGGAATCATGTGTGCAGGAGGGTTGTGCTTCAGCTTCAACAGCACCTGCCTGAACCGTCCCAGGTCCGTCGCCCTCCCCGGTTTCGGTCCTGGAAGAGCCACGAACGTCGACTTCTTCTCCTTCTTCTCCTTCATTTGTCGGCTTTTCGGCTCCAGAGATGCCGGCAGCTCCTTCGGAACCAGCTCCGTCACAGCCTTCCAGTACTGCTTGTCCGCCGTCTTGTGGAAGTGCTCCTGGTCGGCGTGGTACACCTGCCCAACCCACCACAACCACGTCTTAGCTCACGTTCGCACCGATTCGCCGCTTGCCACCAAGACCGCCCCTTCGCTACCGGGACCCATGCCCCCACACAACGCCCAACTCCTTCACCGTGCCACCCGAAACAACCCCCCCCCCCCCCCCAAATTTTTTTGTCCACAAACATTTCCACCCTTCTTGTACCTTCAACAATCCCCGACACAATGCAACCTACCATCTCCTTCTCACGATTCTCCTTCATCTTCGCCTCCCGGTTCGATTCCCGCTTTGCCTTGTGCTTCTCCTTGTACTCATCAGCATCGTCCATGATCTGCTGCAGCTTCTCCTTCTCGACGCGCTCCTTCTCTTGCAGCCGCTGCATGTTCTCCCTGCCACTCACCAAACCATCCCCCACCATGTGAAACCATGCCCCAGCCTCATCCAAGCCTCTACTCGCCAAGCACATCCATCACACACTGCCACCCTCGTCTGCATCCCGCTACACACCACACCCTTGCTCACCTCTTCCACTGCCGAAGAATGGCGCCTTCCTCCTGCATCTCCTCAGGCGGGGGCAGCATTGGACCGCCGCCGTTGTCTCCGCCGAACAAATCCTCGTCCAGCTCTTTGTTGTAGCTCCCCCCCGCCGGATTCGACGTGTACTCCGCGTCTGTAAACCCAGGAGCCGAATACTCCCCCTTCGGAAATCCTGACGGCGACTCCGAACCCGGCATCCCGAACCCGTACATCCCCGGCATGCCAGGGGCCGACTCCTCGTTCTCGTATATTGGGGCCGGGTGATCGTAACCGTGGGACGCGCCCTTGAAGTCGTCGAACCCTTCCCTGTTGTCGTCCATCCCGAAGTGATCCGGCTTGTAATCGTCTGGAGCTCGGAACGAGCTGTCAAATCGAGCAGAGTCCAACCTAGAGCTGTCGAACCGGGCTGAATCGTCGAAGCTGCTGTATGTACTCAGGTCGTCAGCTCCGCCAGAGTACCCATCGTAAGCCATGCTTGCGGTATCTCGGCCTCACAAGATCCTACATGCACCACACCATACCCCCGTCACCACGCAGCACATCACACGCACATACACGACAACCAACCACTTCACGCGGCGCATTCCATTACCAACAGCCACAACAATACAAACGCATTCCGCCTCTCGAACGCTGTGTGAGCCCATAATTCCCTGTGCATCCCTCGCCTACCCACTCCTCCCCACACGCCTCACACCGTCCAACTGTGCACCCTTCCCATCACCTTCGCAATCCTTTCAACCACCCCTACGTCCTCATCGCTGTGGACCACCCCGCGCTCGCGCTCGCGCACATGCCTCTTGCGCACTCCAGATCTGATGGCGGACGGAGTCGCCTTCCTAACACGCCCACAACAAAATGCTGCGCATCCTACTGATCGCCAAACAGGGCACACCATGCCAACAACCTGCACCGCACTCTCCTTCTCCTCGGGCCTCGGATCACTCTGTGTCTCGCAATTTTCCCACCAGCTTCCACGGACCTACGTCCCTATGCGATCCTATCCACGTCCCCGGATCCGCCCACGCTCTACCTCACATGCAATCAAGTATAAACCGAGCTCAGCCAGCCCAGGACAGTGCCGACGATTCTTGCGCGCAACACAACCGCCCAATCCACACGCCCACACAGTCCACAGCCAAATCCTCGACCACTCACAGTAATGTCGCCGGTCTTGCCATCCCTCCCTCCAACCCTACATGTGCACAACGCGCGACTCAAGCACCAGCGAACCGCGCCAAAACCCAACCCACCCACGTATGCCGATCCACAACAACACAAATCCTCCGCCAATGCTCCGGCCCATCCTACCGCGCGTGTCCAATTCCACCAAACCCTCCGAAACACCTCCCGAACCGGGCGCTCCCATCACAGGAGCTATCAAAGCAGCAAGAAAAAGGCACCAAACCAAACCAGAGAGCGAAACGGCGCAGATCGAGGAGGGAGGGAGAAGCATACCTGCGGTACGAGGCGCGCGATGGCGCAGGGTGGGATCCAAAGGGAAGCGATCCAGCAGGAGCAGCAGCAGCAATAGAGGCGATGTGGGGCAAGAGGAGGAGGAGGTCCGTGATGGCGAAGAAGAAGACGACACTGAATGATTTCCACTGCGACGAGTCACCCCGCTCCCTCCCCCTCCCCGGACGCTGTTGACCATGCTCCCTCCTCCCTTCCTTCCTGGTGGATGTGGTTAGTAAACTACATTAGTTTAAGTGGTCTACTTTACTTTAGAAAGTATGTTTTAATTCAATATCTTATATTTGTTGGCCTTGTTTGTTTTTTTAGAAATGTTCACTATTGGACTTTTTTTTTTGTTTGTTTGTTATTGTCTGTTTTTTTATTTTGGTGTGCAAGATAACTTCACTTGTGGTATTTGTTTGCCAATTTTTTTATTTGACATAGATTTTGTTTTTCTTTTTTCTTTTTTTTCTTTGGAGGTGTAGCAATTACTTGGGTTTTAGCGAATTTAGTTTCCATAGTTAATGGAGTAATGTGTGGGTCCTCTTAATGTTTTTCAATGATTTTATATTGTTGGAATTGTGCCCTTATTATAACTGCTTGTTAAAAGCATCAATGAAGTGGGTTCAAAATCCCAATTGTTGGTAAATGCAGATTTGGTACCTGCTCATACATTATCTGTCATTGCTTTCATTTCTGCTCCCTATACACTTTAAGATCCGAGCCATTTTCTATTGGGATGGTACTGCTCCAAGCTTATTCTTTGTTCTTGACTTTATTTCTATATTGTTGGTTTTTTGAGGCAGAAGAGTGTTGAAAGTTGATGTGTTGGATTTTAGCCGAAAGCAACAGACTACAATGTGCAATGGCAAATGGCCAATTGGAGCAATAATGGATGGATGATGTGTGTCATGTGTTTCATCCCTCTATTATCTTTTACATTTAAAAAATATATATATATATATATATATATTTCTATCTATAGCTTCTAATTATTAATATTTTAAAGTTCACTTTATAGACATATAGAGTCTAAAATTAATATGATTTGAGTTGATTCTATGTAGAATTTTTTAAGAAAGCCAATGGTATTATTAATTTGACCATTGCAGATCAAATAGAGTATTAAATTGAGATTTATTAAATATTGTCTTACTTCCAAAGGTGGTTTTTAGTCCTTTTCTTCTCCACATTTTATCCAATTTGAATGTGCTATGTCTCCAAGTACTTATTAAAGCATAATGAGAAGTTTTTAGAGTTGAAAATAATATACTTGGTACTTTTGAAGTTCTCAATTTAAAATTTTAGAACTTTTTGTGATCTTATTTATTATTGCCTATTTTTTGACTTGTCACTACAAACCCCAAGTAGATAGTTGTTGCTTTGATCTATTTGTGAATTTTTTTTACATGTTATTAGAATGAAGATCTAATTTGGATTTTTGAATTTTTTCTTTGATATCTTTTTTTTAATTGTGGGTATTATTGCTATAGGTATCCAATGTTTTTCCATTTTGTATTGTAGATATTCAAAGTTTATATGTATACTAAAAGGATGAGATTGGATTGATGGCTGGTTAAATTCCTTTGTTTGCATCAAATAAGTGATGTTTGTTGGTCTTATAGTGGCATAGAGGTAGTGACTAGTAAATTGTAAAAATTGGTGGTAATTATATATGCAAGTTGCTCTTCATTTATTATATTATTGTATATATTCAAGTAGTATTTTTGTGGCTCAAAACAAAAGTCAATATTATAAATCTTTTTCATTAGACTACTTAGGAAGTGACCACATTAAATACTTTGAGTGAATGGTAGATACGAACATGACTTTACAACTTATTGAAATATTAGATACAATCAAGAGACTTTGAGTTTGAAGTATGGACACATTTATTGAGATTGAAGATGATCTTTACAACATGGTGAGTGATTGGTTCTTATAATGGCTTGAAGGTATTTCTTTGAAAAATTAGAAGCTAAGATTTTAAACTTAAATAAAAGAAAAGTACCAAATATTTCCTACTTTTAATGAGTGGTATATTGTTGAGCTATTGCTACAACATTAAAAGCATGAAGTGCTTGAGATATATAGAATATGGATTGAGAATCACTCACTTTAACTACACAAGAAGTAGCCCTATTAGAAGACCATGATAAAGCTTATTTCTATCATCAATGAAGATATAGTATCCAACTTGATTCTTATAATGAAGAATAGATATCTAGTAAAAGAAGAACATGGAAAATTCTTAATAGATACCTAAGAAAAGGTTATAGTATTATGAATATCCTAAAATAGTAGCACTTCATCCACCTTATCATGGATAGTTCAAACTATGCAAGCAGCTATGTTGCTAGTAGCTAAGCCACCATCTTTTGACTCTCTTTAAATATTTATTGTATATTTTGAGAGTGAATATAGAGGCTTCATGCATGATTATTTGCAATACATTGAAGACTTCCGACATGAAAAATAAGACATATTATACATTATATATATCCATTGTTGTATTACAACACAACTAATGGATAATAAAAGAAAAGAAAAAATTGTAACATAAAAAATCTTATTTAAAAATATAATACCAAATTATCTTAGATATATAGATAATAGCTAAGCCGGTAGTAAAATTAATCAATGTTAATATTATATTTTTTGCAAAATGACCTTTTAATCACTTTGTAAGGCTATAAACAAGACAAAACAAGATAGATTAGCAAAATTAGTATGATGGAGAATCTAAAATAAAAATAAAAATGATCTTCTAACAAAATTAATATCATGAAAAATCTAAGATAAAAATAAATATTATCTTTCAGCAAAAATTATCTAAAAAAACTAAATATTGATACTTGGAGAGAACTAGTAATGAACTTGAATCAAAATCAGATCCCAAGGTACAAAACCACGCCTTTATGGAAAATCTAAGATTATTTTATTAATTAAAAGATGGAATTCAAGAAAAGATGAGAGAGAGAGATTTTTTAAGCATTGATTTTGAGTATTTTGAGTTTGTAATGACTTTGTAAGAGCTTTGCAAAGTAAAGATTATTTTGCAGTGATTATCATGGACATATGTATTTATTCTAATATTTATCTATATGATTAAGTAGAAATAGATAAAAATATATTTATTTTACAATATTTACTAGAAAAGCTTCTTAAAAGCTTTATAGATGTTGTTTTGACTTTATATGTATTTATAGTTATTTGATAGGTTAAAAATTTGGTCAACAAGTTAACTTCGTATTAATAGCTTGCAAAACAAGCTAAGTATATAGAGCATATATAGAAAACTTGCCTTGCAAATTAAGATATGTGTCTTGCAAAGTCAACATGTTTTAGAAGTCCTACAAAATATGGCTACATAGCTCTTAGTTAAGAATATATATCGAGGCAAGAATAAAGCCTTTTTTACCCTTGTCAATATATTTTTAGTCTTTGGTCTTCTTTAAAGTCTTTCTAATCTTCTTATCTTTGAAAATAGTCATTTTAATTTAATATCATATCATCTTTGAGTGATTTTCTAGTCTTTTCAAGTGATACAAGAGTGTATTGACATTTTAGTTCTTTGAAGTTCATGTCTTTGATAATAATTCTAGTTTTTGTAAAATAAAAATGATTTATAATTTAGATCATTTTGTGAGATTTGTAGTAGATTTATAAGTGCAAATTTGTGGATTTGTGTTCATTTTTATATAAAAATTGTATTATAAATTTAAGCTTGATTGAGTAGATAAATCAAAGGTTATTGAAATTGAAGTAGGTTGAGGTCTTAAATATTGGAGTTTGAAAGACTAATTAGAATATTTAAGATTTATAGTAATTTTCCAATTTGATTGAGATAAAATATAGCATACCTGTAAAAAAATTCATTTTAAAAAATTGTGTATAATTTCAAAACAATTTTTTAGTAAAAATAAGAAATATTAGTGCTATAAAATTGATATTAAGGTTGGAGACAGAGGCCAATCAACACTTGAGTGGATTATGGATTTTTTTTCTATTTGATAAAGCTAATTGTCTTCAAAAGTATTGTTTTTGTTTTCAACTAAGAAATATAGAGGTGTGAAAATTTTGAATTATAACCAAAAATTAGATTATTAATTATTAAGGTTTTGAATCTAATATAAGATTTGATTAATATTTATTTAAGATTTAATTATAATTTAATTATATTTTTATTAGATTTGATTATGATTTTTTTAGGATTTGGTTAAGATTTGGTTAAGATCTAATTAGAATTTTATTAGGATTCTTTTAAGATTTCATTAGGATTTGATTAGGGCTTGATTAAGATTCTTTTATGATTTCAATGCAATTATATTAGGATTTCTTTTAGAAATTTCATTAAAGTGAATTAAAAATTATTTAATATTTATTTAGAATTAATTAGTGTGTATTAAGATATATCTAAGTTTTTTTTAAAGTTGATAGGATGTATTTGAGATAATTAAAAGCTTATTAGGTTGTTGAAGATTGTAAAAAGATACATTTAAATACCTTATAGATTGTGTTAGGTTATAAAACAAACTTCAAGATAAATTCAAATCCTTTCACAAATAGATCTCTAGTGCCTTTTCATATTAGTATTTACATAATACAACATTAATTAATATAGTTTGCAATAGAATCAATCGATGTATTAATTAAAAGTCAATTTTTTAATATATTTTTGTCCAAAATTAATATACAATTCTAAAAATTGGCTATATCAAGAATCATTCTCAATTA